GCCAGAGGGCGCTCCGCCGCTGACAGGCATGTTGCACCTGGACAGCCTAAGAAGGAGCTGGTAAAGTGGAAGGATGTGTTGTCTAACCAGTGGAAAGGCCCGGATCCGGTAGTGGCCAGATCCAGGGGATCTGTTTGTGTTTTCCCCACAGGACCAAGAGAACCCTGTTTGGGTACCAGCCCGGCTGACCAGACTAGTCCGCCCAGATCCCAGCGACGATGAGCCTGTTGTGGCTGAGCCTGCTGATGGACCTGATGATGACGGGGTCCGGGGCGGAGCCCAGGTGGGCGGTGATGGACGTCTTCCCGATGCCGATGCCGATCCGCCATGACTCCACCGTCTTTCCTCGTTTCCTCACCACCAACATCTCACTGGACCTGCCTTATGTTCCTTTTGACCCCGAACAGGCAAACTTTTCTCATAGCGCAAACATTACTGTCGCTGGGTCACTTTGTTTTACTCTGGTAACTAATACTTCCTACCGCCCTCAGTGCCTTCGTTTGTATCGGCAGGTAGCTGTTTGGCTTGACAAACCGTCCCAGGCCATCCCTGAGGCTAACGGCACCGCTATTCATGGCGTTTGGCCAACAAGGGTCAATGGCGGTCTGAAATTACAGCCTAAGTGGGCACCCAGATGCCATAGCCAAAGAAGTAGAGAATCCCTTGCACCTTGGACGGGGTGCCAGAGTAGATATGCATCCTGGGTTGTCGATAGTTTCTTCACCATGTCGCCCAGAATGTCTACTGTGTATAGTGCCACCGATCCTGGGGTCAATTTCACCTCACAAAGCCCTTGGCTTTGGGATCCAGCTAACCCGTTTGATTTGTGGTTATTGTGTGGAATTAACGGTAGTTGCACTGACTTGGCACCGTTTTCTATGATTGCGGGAGGAAAGATAGAGACAGCAGAGTGGAGGTGGAATGAGAGCTCCTACTTTGAGAGTACATTGAACAAAACCAAGCCTTGGTCTAATATATCTTTTGCTCCCACCCCGGTCTGTGTTTGGCCACCTTTTATCTTTATTGTTACCAATCTGTCCACTGATGGCGACGTGTTATCCTGTTCCAATGACACTTGCTTGTATTCCCTTTGCTGGAATGCTACACAACACTCCTCTGCATTTGTGGCGCGCTTACCTCGGTTCATCCCTGTTCCAGTTGAAGCGCCCTCATCGATGACGCTGTTCAGATACCGCCGTGACTTTGGTATAACAGCGGCCATAGTGACTGCCATAGGCATCGCTGTTGCTAGCGCTACAGCCGCCACTGTTGCACTGACGTCTACAGTTCAGACTGCCCAGGCTGTGAACAACCTGTCTGCGGGAGTGGCCACCGCTTTGGCGACCCAAGTGAATGTCAACTCGCAGCTTAAAGGAGGAATTACGATCATTAATCAAAGAGTGGACTTAGTCCAAGAACAAGTGGACTCGTTGGAGAGAGATCATATATATAGGACCCCTACTATATACTACCCATTACTATATATATATACATATAGCACTTACATAATCTACTATACCCTATTACCCTACACACTACACACGTAAAATAAAATCAGAACAAAGGTACCTTTTCCTCCTAAAAGTCATAAGCCGTTCTGCCCTTTTG